CAAAAACCTAACCAAAAAGATCTTATATCAACTTAAGAGTTGTCTTGCATAATTGTGATAAGTTAAAATTAAGTAAGTCGACCTGTTCGTCCGTATCCTTGATCACTAATACTAAAGGACCTTTGCCCTTAACTTTATGATACATAGTAGCCATACTTGTCCCATCTTGGTCGAGGCTATATAGCAGATTCCATGATAGCAATAATCGTAGTCGTCGTGGAAGTTTAAGTCGGATCTAATGAACAGTTCATACAAGCAATAAATTAAACATGGCAAATAAAATAAATACAAATAGGATTATCATCAAGTATAACATGTATGATCGATTAATCTCACGACTTTCATTTGAATAATATAGTGAGATAAATAATAGGGTTCACGCTGGTGTGTTCTTAAAAATGTGACATGATATCGCTATAATGTCGGTGATTGAACAAATACCTGTTCAGCTATAGATTCATTCAAAACCGGATTAGTATCGTCACTTCTGCCGCAAAGTTCAATTGGTGACAATAAATCACCGGAGGTTTGCAACTGTGTTGACTCCTGCGGTGGCGTCAGAGGAACAGCTTGTATATTCATCTTGTGATTATCCCAATCCCCTATAATCGTACTAGCGATACTAGATTGAGCTGAGGAAACGCTAGATTTTATTGTGGTTGTCAGCAAGCTAATCGATTTAGCATCGTTACTAGCAACCATAATAGGAACTACCCTCAAAGACGGCTTATTTCGCCAGGGAAAGGTACGGAATTTCCTTGCGAAAGACGTAGATGTACAAAGTAAATCTCCTACAGGTGGAGAAGAGCTATTACAAAGGACAGGTGATTGATTCAGAGAAATTGTGTAATTATCACGACCAACAATATTCCAGAATAGATCAGTAGAGTTTTTATTGCTAATCGTACTGCGGGTTCTTTTTATAGAGATGTCTCTTGGCAAAGAAATGTTTGAGGATTCTGGAGCAGATAAAGTTCGAGTTATCGACTTTTTTGAAAGAGTATCGTAAGAATTAGACATTGGAAAAAACAAACCGTTAATTACAGCTCACACCTATTGCCGGTCTGTGAAAGTTGAACACTTCTAGTAACGCAAAAGCGTCATTCCTGATTCAGGACAATCTATTTTTAGCTGTCCTAATTTAGGGGTCGTCTTACTTAATTTTAACTTATCACAATTATGCAAGACAACTCTTAAGTTGATATAAGATCTTTTTGGTTAGGTTTTTG